ATATATAAACATCTCAATGTGGGATGGGGGGTTGAGACTACACCCCCGACTTGTGAATATAATGTCCCGGAGCGGGCTAAAAAGCTAAAAGACTACATCAATGTCGAAAGTACATAGAACATCCTCAAAACAGAAAAACAAAAAGTATAACTATCACAAAATATCCGATGTAGATCTAAAGTCAAGTCCTCATGACAGGTCGTCTTGGTCAAGGTGTCCTGGCATGAAGGCCAAAACGACAAGTCTAGTCAGGAGCATGTGGTGGCGGTCGTCCAAATCTGAAGGATGGATACTCTAGCTGGTCCATGCGAATGAGGGTCCGAAGCCAGAGGGGAATGTCCTCTGGATGAAGGATGCGTCTCTAAGGTATAGATGCCCCCATGCTAGCAAGGAAATCGGCGAGGCGGTTTCCCTCTCGGAATATGTGTGAGACCTGGTAATGGATCGAGCGGAGGGTGTCTCTGATGCGCATAATGGGATGTTGTATCTGCCATGAGCCCTAGAGTCCAGCTGTCAGAAGTGTGATGACAGCAGCAACATCCATCTCTATCTAGATATGGGAGGAGATCGAGGCAACAATCTCAAGGCCAATTTGGAGCTCCTGAATCTCTGCATCATAACTCGAGGAGGCCCGGAGTGGTCCATGGAAGGCAGAGATGAGTGCCCCACCATGATCCCTAATCAGATCCCCTCCTCCAGCAGCTCCGGTATGTCTGTCGAATGTGCCACCGGTGTTTAGGTTAACCCAAGGGGGCTTGGGTTTCAGCCAAACAACGATCCTGGGTCGTGGGTGCTGGACAGGTAAAGGAGGTGGTGGCCTCAAGCGGTGGGGTGGTATGCAACCTGTCTAGTCTCTCGTCTTGAGTCTGCCTAGTGCGGTGAGGAGAGAGAGGTGTCTGTCAACCTGCAAAATGATGTGAGCACAAGAAAAAATATAATATCCCTATGCTTCACATTATTCTTTTCTATCCAGGTGGACCATAGGATCAAACAAGGAATAAAGAAGCCCACGTGTCTACTGTGTGTGCGGTGTGAGAAAAAACTCAGGAGCTCAAAAAAATTGTCTGTAGTGGGCAGGGGTATATGAGCATAGGCGGAGCCAAAGAAGGCCCAAGGGGGCCCGTGGGCCCCCATCATTTTTCTAAAAAAAGTATATATATATATATATATATACAAAATATATTAGTAACTAAAATTTATTTCTTTGCTATTTTAGTTTAACATAATATTATTTTATATAAAAAATGTACTAACAATAGTTATATTTTGCATTTCTAGATAAACTTTTGATTGAAAATATTTATAATGATTTACACTTTCTGTCTCTTAATTGTAAATTAATTTAGTGATTTATAAAACCAAGTATTTAGTTCAATTGTTACATTTATGAATATTGATTTTTTACTTTTTTGTGTAATTACATATTTTTAACTTTCTTAATGTAAATCAATTTAGTGATTTATAAAACCAAGTATTTAGTTCGATTGTTACATTCATGAATATAGATTTTTCACTTTTTTTTTGTATAATCAAATATTTTTAACTTTATTATTTTTTTAAAAAAAAATTATAAGCTCTCAACAAAAATGTTATGCAATGTGCTGCAAAATTACAATTTAAATTAATTTTTCAACCAAAAAAACTTATTTTTCCATAAATTATAGATGTTGCACTTGAATTATAAATACATGAAAGATTTTTATTTTTTATTTTTTTTTAGTTTGAGGGTGATAAGGATTCTAAGTATTTAAAAACACAATGGTAAACATGTCTATATTTATATTTATAGTAAATATAATTGTATATG